AAAGAATCTTTACACGCTTTATAATTATAATGTACAAATTTTTATTTTATTTTATCAAAATCAATTATGGAAAATCTTTGTTGTTACATAGAAAGATCAATTTTAAAGATTTTGAAAATTATAACATTTCCATCATCCTAAAGTAATTCTCCACCCTAAAATATTCTGAAACCATTTCTGACATTATAAAAAAATATTTAACAATCTAAACATTTTTCGACATGCTAAATAATTTACAATTTAGGAAGCTAAAAATAATTTTTCCTATTTTGATTACGCCCAGGAAAAAATAATTTAGGCGCCAATGTATAGTTATAAACCAACGCAAAATATCAGCTAACCAAGAATTTCTATTTAGCTTTGAGTTTTCCATTTTATGTGGGTTTTTTTATGTATTTTAAATCATGTTAATGTCTTAAACTAAACCTAAATCAAAAGAAACTGGAAATCTTGGAAATTTCGTAAAAGCATGAGGAAATTATGTTGTGATATTACAGCTGTTTTCAAAAAGGTGTGAACAATAATAAAATCAAATAATGGTGATCTGCGTCTGTTCATACTTTTATGAAACAGCTATAACGATAAAATAGCGATAAATAATCAGCGAATGATTTAATCGTGCATCTATGTATGATTATGTTTTTTGAGATAATGCAGTTTGAATTTATCATTGGAAACTTAATGCCACGTCGATGCGATATTGACTAATGTTGAAATTTGGGGTTTTTATTTGACAGTACAAAGAGACCTCTCTAAATGCACCCTCTCTCAAATTTAGTCCAAATATATATTTGGCTCACATAAATGAGCCATTTTTATTGTTTTCTAGATGCATTGTTATAAATTTGGTCCTTATTGAGCGCATTTAGAGAGATCTCTCCGTATATGCAATATCTCTGTAAGTGTAAATTTTCTTATTGTTCTCTAAAATTACTTAGAATAAATTTTTGTGAACAATGTAATAGTATATGCTCTGGATCTTAACCAATATAACAAAGGCCTTAAAAAATTTTCGTGCCGAGGTAAAATTTGTTTGGGTGCATTTTTTAGGGGTTTGGGTTAATAAAGAAACCAAATTTATTTTATAACCTGATTTCGTTGACAAAGTATTTTAAGAATATAAAGAAAGATATTGTTGCTCAGATTAGCATAAAAGTAACATTGATAGAAATCAACGTGCGTACATGCGTACGTACGTACAATTCTTAGAAGTTTCTAGAGCTAATCGTTTTGTTTCGGAGTTTACGACTGTGCAACACCCGAACTTCTTAGAAAAACACACATCATTTTTATAATAGTTTATAGAATTTTCATTGCATGATTTGCAATGTTGTACAATTATAAACAATAAATATAAACAATTATTCGTATCCGGATTTACATTCCGACATAATACCAGTACTCATCGGCGGAAAAATTTCCAAATCCGGAGATAAAGTAGTCGTAATAAATAACTTCTTATAAAATAGGTCGATATCAAGACAGGAAAAAAAATAAAAAAATAAAGATGTTCACTTTTTTCGAATGGCTCGAAAGAGCAATCTCTGAACAATGCATCTATCAATTTAATCATAAAGACTTTAGCGACTTTGAGAAAATTTCAGAAGGTGCATTTGGCATTATAAAGAAATCAAAATGCGCAACCTATAGATTAACCGTCGCTCTAAAAAGCTTAAAAGTCGATATCAATTCCGATGAAGATTCCAATAAAATTTCCGAAGACTTTATAGAAGAGGTATTATTTATAAACCAATTATTCCCGTCTGGTAGGGTTCTGAGGTGCCGGGCACGATGCCGTTAAAGGCATAGTGTCCGGCCTCCTAGGTATTATGTTTTAATGACACGTGCCCAGCACCTGCAGAACCATATTGTCTAAGGTTGTTAATGGATTGCCGCAATAAGCCGGCTCAAATAAGCTCTAAGGAATTATAGTCTGATACGAGCCCAGTGACATGAAGTGGATTCCAATTAACAACCTTATTCTTGCTGCCTCAAATGAATCATACTTATTAAATTTAATTTTTTTTAACTTTTATTCAGCTTCGCCTCCTACGAAAAGTAGGGATGCATCCAAACGTAAATAATTTCTATGGCATTACTAAAGGTAAATTTTCAAAAGTGTGTGTGCTTACATTATTATTATGTATAATTTTAATACTAATGATTTTTAATTATTAGATTCTTCTAACAAATATAGTATGGTTTTGGAATACGCTGATAATGGAAATTTACGACAATATTTGAAAACCAATTTTAATAGTTTAACTTGGAATGATAAATTTCGTATTGCCGGGGAAATAACCAACGGACTTTTTTTCTTACATAATCATAATGTTATACATCGAGATTTGGTATGTAATGATGTTAGATTTTGATGTTGACAGTGATGGGATCATATACGAAGTGATCTAGGTCACTTCAAAAAAATTGGAATGGTCCATCACTGAATGTTGAAAGTATTACGTGCGCTAAAAAAAGGGTTACTAAAGTTACTTTTTTTTTATAGCATTCAAAAAATATCCTAGTTCATGAAGGAAAAATGAAGATTGCAGATTTCGGTTTATCAACAACTTTAAATTCTATTAGTAATAAAATGCCAAATTCGCGAACTTTTAACTATGGAATGCCAGCTTACGTGGAGCCTCAATGTTTTAAAAATCCAAAATACGAATTTAATAAAAGATCTGATATATATAGTCTTGGTGTGATTCTTTGGGAAATCTCAAGCGGAAGGCCACCATATCAATCTTTTAATTCAGTGGATGCCATTATCATCCATGTATTTCAAGGAAAGAGAGAAACTCCTATTGATGATACGCCACAATTTTATCTTAAACTTTATACGGAATGTTGGGATGATGAGCCTCAAAATCGACCGGATGCAGAAATCGTTCTTACCACATTGAATCGACATAACTCTAGCAAAATTTAATCTAATATTGTCATCAACTAGCCACGCAATGTTAAACCCAATTTGCAATTTTTCGAATTTTTTTTTTTTAACTCGTTAATTATACCAATTGTTTTATTTTGGAAATTTATTTTTGCGTCATTTTTGTCCGGTATCACCCGATGGAGGCCTTAAGTTTCTGGAATTATCCGATTGGACCGACAGAAAAAAAGCCGACCGACCTTCCATATAATGCAAATTAAAAGTTAACTTTCGTGGCATAAGATGTAGATTTGGGGGCTGTTTGTGACCGAGAATAGAAAAGAGGGATTATGGGTAATATGTAGATTTGGGGGCTGTTTGTGACCGAGAATAGAAAAGAGGGATTATGGGAAAAATGGTGAAGTACCGCCTTTAGCTTCATTTACCTTTTAGAATTGAGGTAATTAAAACGGAGCCATGTCGGTAGGGAGATACAAGTTATGTATAGGTTTTGAATTGTTTGTAAATGATATGAGAACTTGACCGATGCACAACACTTATAATATAACGAATTAATCAACATTTTAAGCTCAATTATAATCTAAAAAATTGTCTATAATCAAACAAATTTTTATGAACTATTTTTTGCATTTTAATTTAATATAAAATAGATTTTCCTTTATTGTAAAATAAAAATCTTAATGTTTTAGTTATTTTTTGATTTTCTGAAATTCTGCCTACTGATTATGATGCTATCATACTTTGTATTTTTGAATTTTATAAAATTGCTAGTTTACAAATAATGTTGCAAGGACAAAGACTCGAATAATTATTAATCTTTAAATATCTTGTTATCTGTAATTTAAATCTACTAAAGTGGCAAAAATTGATTAATTAATATAGAATTAGTATATAATTATACTTAATCAAGTAAATTAATTATATTACTATTTTTTAATTATTAATTGTTTTAAAATGTATATATAATATATAGTTATTGGTGCGTAGCGTCCAATAACGGTATTATCCGTCAGATTACGACGATCGGGCATAACATGAAGCGAGTAAATAAGTTTTAATTAAAAATAT